GAAAAAAATATTGTTTCATGGATTTATTATTTCATGGATTTAGAAATAAAAAATGATACAGGATATTATTTAACATTTTTCACTGGACTGCAAGTTTATCATTTGTTTCCCACAAAAGTCAACAGTATATAAATGTTTTTGATATTCCTTGCTTACAAACCTACAAATGAATCTAGACTTACACAGTGTGTCTCTTTATTAATGTACACCTACACAGTATATCTCTTTACCAGTCTAAACTTACAAAGTAAGAATCTATACCAGTGTACACTTACAAAGTATGAATCTATACCAGTGTACACCTACACAGTAAGAATCTATACCAGTGTACACCTACACAGTATATCTCTATACCAGTGTACACATAGACAGTATGTCTCTATACCAGTGTACAATTACAAAGTAAGAATCTATACCAGTGTACACCTACATAGTATGTCTCTATACCGCTGTACACTTACACAGTATGTCTCTTTACCGGTGTACACTTACAAAGTAAGAATCTATACCAGTGTACACTTACACAGTATGTCTCTACCAGTGTACAATTACAAAGTAAGAATCTATACCAGTGTACACCTACATAGTATGTCTCTATACCAGTGTACAATTACAAAGTAAGAATCTATACCAGTGTACACCTACACAGTATGTATGTACACTTCTCTATACCAGTGTACACTTACACAGTATGTCTCTACCAGTGTACAATTCTCTATACCAGTGTACACCTACATAGTATGTCTCTATACCAGTGTACAATTACAAAGTAAGAATCTATACCAGTGTACACCTACATAGTATGTCTCTATACCAGTGTACAATTACAAAGTAAGAATCTATACCAGTGTACACCTACATAGTATGTCTCTTTACCGGTGTACACTTACAAAGTAAGAATCTATACCAGTGTACACTTACACAGTATGTCTCTACCAGTGTACAATTACAAAGTAAGAATCTATACCAGTGTACACTTACACAGTATGTCTCTTTACCGGTGTACACTTACAAAGTAAGAATCTATACCAGTGTACACCTACACAGTATGTCTCTACCAGTGTACAATTACAAAGTAAGAATCTATACCAGTGTACACTTACACAGTATGTCTCTATACCAGTGTACAATTACAAAGTAAGAATCTATACCAGTGTACACCTACATAGTATGTCTCTATACCGCTGTACACTTACACAGTATGTCTCTTTACCGGTGTACACTTACAAAGTAAGAATCTATACCAGTGTACACTTACACAGTACGTCACTATACCAGTGTAAACCCGCAGAGAATATCTCCACATCAGTGCACACCTACAAAGTAGGAATCTATACCAGTGTATATCTACAATGTAGGAATCTATATAATTGTAAACCTACATATTATGTATATACAAATGTACACATAACCAGTAGGAATCCACACCAGTGTACACCTTCATAGTAGAAATAGATATAATTGTAAAACTGCATAGTATGTCTAGGTTATGTACACCTACAGAGTAGGTATCTATACCAGAGTACACCTACAGCGTAGGAATATGTACCATATTTACGTACACAGTATGTCTAAACCAGTGAATACCTAATTATTTCCGTAATTCATCTTTGACCGAAGAAATTGGAACATGTGTGAGGTCATCCGATTGGGCAACAGGTGTTATTAAGAATTTACTCAAACATTTATTTTAAAATATGAATAACTATTTAAATAGGCGATTTCATTTGCTGTAATGAATAAGTCTATTTGCGAAAATGTATACAAATTGTTTTATGTCCGTTGAAGTTTAGAACTATAGTTTTGCATTGAGCAGTTATTTTCGCTACGTCATCGGGCAAAATTCAATGTAACATCAGGTAAAAAAGACTAAACAACACACTGTTGACATTTCGGCATTTTGAATTTCCAAACATTGTCGCAGAAGATATAGGATACATGATAAGTGTATCAATATACTAGCGGAAACGGTATTTATTATTTTAAAAGATTAATCGATGATTATTTCATGGTTTGGGTTTCTCGGTTATATCCTCATTATTGAATACATCACGATGGGTTTTTTTTTGTCCTATCACAGACGGCGTTTGTGTGAATAACGTTAAAATAGCGTTACCCTACGCCTGTGTGGCTTCAGTCGCTGCACCTATTCTCCACATTAACATTGACTTCATCAATGTGTTTATTGTCCTCTGAGGGATATTATTCCACTCCTGAACAATGGCCTGCGTGAGTTGAGCGACGTTATATGGGACGTTGACGGGCTTCCTAACCCTCCTGTCCAGCTCATCCCACAAATGCTTGATTGGGGACAAATCTTGTATGTTTGATGACAAACCGTAGCAACATGGGACCTCGCTTTGTCCTGCTGAAACGTAAGGTCACGTTGATTGATAAGAGGAAGGACGAGTGGTCTCAAGGCATGATCCTGATATGCTCCTGCTATAAGATTGTCGCGGCATTTCACTCTATTATCACTTCGAAAAGAAATGTTGTGTAGCTGATATTTGCTATTTCAGTGCTCGATTTGTAATGATTTACCAGCTCAAATTGTGCAGAAGCACGCTTTGTTAAGAAATCTGCTGAAAGCTTGCAGAGTCGAGCGGGGTCTCGGTCGGCTGAAGAACATTGTCACAGCGCACGGATGTAGCTCAATGTCAAATTTAATTATATTTCATCAACGTGTCTAAAAGTAATTTTATGAAAACCGAATTTCCGTTTCTTTTTTCGCTGGTAAATTTTAAACTACATTTTGGAACAAGACAAGAAGATAAGAGTTAGTTCGCCACTTTTATCATTCTACACCGTCACTAAAATATAGATTTGTTGTGACCCTGCTTATGTATCCTTCATGTACCTACATAATAGATTTGGACATAAGAAAATACCTTCACAAAATATAATAATTATTGTTAGAATCTTTCCTCAATATAATCAGACATATCGAAGCCGTTTATTAGTAAAAAAATCAACAGTAAACAGTTTGTAAACGAATGATTGATATAATAGATGTACATTTGATAAGCTGAGAGGTAAACTTACATTCCAAATTCCTAGATGCAAATAATTTTATTGGGGAATATTCTCTTTGTGATATAAAAATGGTAAATGTCCGCGACGAAACGTGAGAAAGTGACACTTCAGGAACACATTCTTTGTTAAGAAAAAACTTAAATATAAGAAAACTTTCCTTAACTTAATGTTATGCTTTCCTTTGTGGACAATTTTCAGTCCAGGAAAAATCTTAAGTTGGTCAGATCTAGTGTCGAAGCTACCATGCCTTATGCTTACAATACAGAAAGTAAAGGATACGATAGCCGAATACAGATGACCTTAACAACGAAACAGCTGTATGATGCAAGTGAAATCATTGATTGGCTCTACTTTATCCAAATATTATTTTATTGAATGGTGCTATTCACTTTTATTTTGCCAGAAACTCGGTGATTTTCGAGATTAGCTATGCCAGAGAGTGGATTCTGCGTTCATTATTTTTAAAAGTTGATTCCTACTTACTGTTAGAACAAAGCCTGCTCGACAACAATGGAAACCCTTAGTAGACATTACCCAAGCTTTTCAAAGACGTTATACTAGCCAATCGTGCTTCAACTTTATAATCATTTAGGTTAGAAATAATTAATAGGAATACGGACCTTTTCAAAATTCCAAATTAACAACATTTTGCTTCTGACTTGTCTGGTTGTGCCATCAAATCTTTATGCAAACTTCGTACAGCTACTTTGTGATAGCGAACTCGAGGAGTGGAATAAATGGATTCTGGAACTGGGAGAAATTCAATGAACAGTTGACCAAGCTTGGATATCAGGTTTGTTTAAATCTTTTCTGTAAGGCAATTTGATTTCTCCAATCGTTATACTATTATACCCAAGTTTTAGAGAACGCATTCATTCCGTGGTTATGGAAGTTTGCTTTTCGGTAAAAGTAAATCCTTATGAACTGTGCTGAATCGCAATCGTCCAAATGAAATAAACCGAGTTAGAAATAATCTTCGGGATCGATGAAACAGGTGATGTTTAATCTTCCACGAATCATGGGTTTATTTTCTTCACAATTTTTAGTATTGTATCTGTGTTGAAATTGAACTAAAATTTTGTAAATACGGCTTAATATTTTCTAGTAATCGTTCCTGTCACGACATGCATTGTATGAGCAGAGCACAAGTTGTTTTCCCCGTGAAGAAATGTTGATTGTGTGTTTTATGGCATGACATTTAGTCGTGATTTTTTGTTTGTTTAAGATGTCCCGATAATGACCAATATCTTTTTTACTGGTAGGTTTAAAGACCATATTAAGATGGGTTCTTCAAAACAAAAAGTTTGATTGGTCTTATTCTCAATCAGGTAATACCGTTTTATTTTCCCGAATCTTGTTTTGAGGTATTACCTCTCATTTCGATATACAATAGACTTTATCTTCATAGCATCGGGCTTTGTTTTAATGGCTGTTTTTAATCCTACAGCTTAAGAAGAGTTATTACTGTTACATATCTTCAGCTTCCTAGGCTTTTCTCTCACATCTCTTACCGATCTCTTTTCAAACATTGTATTTCATCATCATACCATAAAGTCCCCCCCCTCTTTTTCGTTATGTAATCTTAGTAAACTGTTTTTGAACAGTTTGTGTCCTCGGTTGTTTAAGAATTCTTAGTGTTAGACCAGTATATTTAAGCTTGCTAATTACGGTTGTAAATTATGCTTTATCTCATTTCTATTGCACTCGATACATCTATAATATATTTGCATTATCATTCGGTCCCATGACAATAGTGTTTGCACGCATTAGCAATGATCTTTACGGGATATGGCAGTTAGAAAGTACATGTGTATCTTCAGTTGTATTTTTACTTCGTTAAACAGTGATAATTTTCATTTAATTGCAATAACAGAAAACATATTTTCTTTTAGATCTATTTCTTTTGTCATTTTTATTAATTTTCAAACTCTTTTCAATTCGTGTCATATACACCTAAGATTCTATTTTTATCCGACCACAGGTCCTGCACCATTCTGAAAAAAAGCTCACAAAGCTAAGTATGCATTTAAACAATATAAATAAATGAATAAAGAAAGAAAATAAGTATTAATCTGGAAGTGATGTTTTAACAACAAGTATGACACCAAGATAAGCTTGGCCTATTTTTATGGAGTGCGTATGCACCAAACAGTTGTTATCCACCTAAACCTGTAGTAAGTTCTTTATCTTTTACCGAAAATCTATACGTCAATCGACACTATCGATCATTACAATGATTCCTCCTGGAAGAACGCAGATCAAAAGAGAATGACTGTGTTATTACAAAAAAATGATAACATCATAAAAAAAACATAGAAACCAACATTTGAACAAAAAATGGTTAAAGACCCGAAAAACTGGAAGTCAAATATGTACAAATCTATGCATTTGACATCTAGTATGTTTTAGCGTCGACAGAATTTGCATGTAACATCAACGATGTCAAATAATATATATACAACAATGTCGTTAATAGTATCACACTTCCGATAAAACAAGGATCCTTACAAGTCCTTACACACACAATACAAAAACATTCCATGGTATCGATATATCAAAGTGGTGCAACAAGGAACAGTTATTTCTTATCCAAAATGTATGTTTATGTTCAACGGTTTTAAACCATAAGCCTTACCTCATGACTTCTGCATTCTGGAGGGATATTGAAGATTCCATTTGGAAGCGCTCCTTCTGTGATATCAGATAGCAAGTACGTCGTTTCTCCTGGTGCTAAAAAGAATATTTAACAACAATTATATCTATATTTCACAACTATTCATATCAACATCTCACATTACATTTACATCTACATATCACATAACATTTACATCTACATATTACATAACATTTACATCTACATATCATTTACATCTACATATCACATAACATTTACATCTACATATCACATAACATTTACATCTACATATCACATAACATTTACATCTACGTATCACATAACATTTACATCTACATATCACATAACATCTACATCTACATATCACATAACATCTACATCTACATATCACATAACATCTACATCTACATATCACATAACATCTACATCTACATATCACATAACATTTACATTTACGTATCACATAACATTTACATCTACATATCACATAACATTTACATCTACATATTACATAACATTTACATCTACATATCATTTACATCTACATATCACATAACATTTACATCTACATATCACATAACATTTACATCTACATATCACATAACATTTACATCTACGTATCACATAACATTTACATCTACATATCACATAACATTTACATCTACATATCACATAACATCTACATCTACATATCACATAACATCTACATCTACATATCACATAACATCTACATCTACATATCACATAACATTTACATTTACGTATCACATAACATTTACATCTACATGTCACATTACATTTACATCTACATGCTACTGAAATCGGAGTACAGAATCATATTTTTTACCAAAGATGTAATATGTTATATTATTTACGCTGTACATACACATAAAAATGGATATAAAGATATTTCTGCAAAATATCTATATAACAGCTGACACATTCATCTATGGATTACACCATACACTGATTTAGGTAAGTAAGTGTGTACAGTAATTATACAACCATTCATACAATAATGATATTTATACATACACCCGCCGATATTGCCATACATCGACATCTGGACAATCGTGCAGGTGTCATTCGTCACTGTGAATTTTATAGTTAAGTCGCTCGTTGCCCATCTCCAGGTATCCACAGCCAGACTGTAATTAGCACTTCCCATCATTTGATGTCCAACCAGCTGAGCTTCATCTGTAACCATAAACACATAGTTTACTATTTTATTGGCAATGATCATCATTTGTCCATTCATCTGAACATCATCTGAAATGAAAAGGACATGTTTTACAGCTTTTGGTCGAAATTACAGCTAGACCTGTTTTACCTGTAATTTGTCCTGTAATACCATTTAGTAGTTAGGTATTTCTTACAGTTAGATTTTACCTGTATATATGTTGTAAGTTCATCATTATGTCTCTCATACAGCTATATTTGTCATTTACAAGGTATGTAATACTCGTCATTTACAATATCTGTAATACTATAATACTCGTCATTTACATCATCTGTAATACTGTAATACTCGTCATTTAAAATATCTGTAATACTGTAATACTCGTCATTTACATTATCTGTAATACTGTAATACTCGTCATTTACAATATCTGTAATACTGTAATACTCGTCATTTACAAGGTCTGTAATACTGTAATACTCGTCATTTAAAATATCTGTAATACTCGTCATTTACAAGGTCTGTAATACTGTAATACTCGTCATTTACAAGGTCTGTAATACTATAATACTCGTCATTTACAATATCTGTAATACTATGATACTCGTCATTTACAACATCTGTAATACTGTAATACTCGTCATTTACAAGGTCTGTAATACTATAATACTTGTCATTTACAAGGTCTGTAATACTGTAATACTCGTCATTTACAACATCTGTATTACTGTAATACTCGTCATTTACAATATCTGTAATACTGTAATACTCGTCATTTACAAGGTCTGTAATACTGTAATACTCGTCATTTACAATATCTGTAATACTGTAATACTCGTCATTTACAAGGTCTGTAATACTGTAATACTCGTCATTTACATTATCTGTAATACTTTAATACTCGTCATTTACATTATCTGTAATACTGTAATACTCGTCATTTACAAGGTCTGTAATACTATAATACTCGTCATTTACAATATCTGTAATACTATAATACTTGTCATTTACAATATCTGTAATACTGTAATACTCGTCATTTACAATATCTGTAATACTGTTATACTCGTCATTTACAAGGTCTGTAATACTGTAATACTCGTCATTTACAATGTCTGTAATACTATAATACTTGTCATTTACAATATCTGTAATACTATAATACTTGTCATTTACAACATCTGTATTACTGTAATACTCGTCATTTACAATATCTGTAATACTGTTATACTCGTCATTTACAATATCTGTAATACTGTAATACTCGTCATTTACAAGGTCTGTAATACTATAATACTTGTCATTAACAATATCTGTAATACTATAATACTTGTCATTTACAACATCTGTAATACTGTAATACTCGTCATTTACAATATCTGTATTACTGTAATACTCGTCATTTACAATATCTGTAATACTGTAATACTCGTCATTTACAATATCTGTAATACTATAATACTTGTCATTTACAGGGCCATTCATACTGTAATACTTTTCGTGTACAAGGTCAGTCACATTTTAATACTTGCCGTGTCCAAGGTCTTTCATACTGTTATACTTTTAATCATCAAGTTGTGACAAAGAATGCTTATTGCACTCTAGAAAGTTAGAAATAATGTAGCACTTACCAGGAACACACGGGCTCTGTGCCTGCTGCGTTGTGTTTTCCATTGTGCAATGACCATCATACAAATTATACGATATATTCTGTGGGAGACAAACAATGATAAATTCTTATTTGATTAATAGTAAAAGATAACTGCACAGGGACGTAACACGATGTACAGACCTACGTTTCATACATATGTATCATAGTGACATGGTGCGCAAATCCTAAGTAGGGGAAACTAAAACTGTTTTATTTGATAATGTATTTAATACCCGAAGTCCGTAGATCTAAGTAACACATGTTACATTTAAGAAAACTATTTTACATTTTCAATGAGTGCTTGATGAACCAATTGACCAAGTTATGGTCTTACGAATTTGGAATTCAGGCACATACATCAAACACTTGTGTAACCTCTGTATATACATCACGTATAAACAAGCCGAATTCACTAATAGGTCGATGGGAAATGTCGTATATAGATGTACCCGTAAAGTGTAAACCATCTGATGCTCATTGTTAATATACATATCTTAAATAAATAGTGTTCTCCCTATTCTAACTTGTTTGTTCTTGAATGTTTATATCATCCACTTGATAAATAGCTCTAAAAGTATCAAATATTCTTTTTAACATTTATGAAATATATAAAATTGTCTCAAGGCACTACAGTGTTACCAAAACAAATTTCATATAAGCCTCGTTTTCGTAGAATTTTGTCAATGTAGTCATCAGGATAGATAGAAATTATTTTCGGACCTTCAAAAAAGTAGAATTATAAATCAACTTACTTTACTTAGGTCTAATAGAGAAATCTGCTCTTTCCCAGCAATTTCCATTTGTGTTCTGGCCATCTTTCCATTGTAGTCATAAAACAAACGGAGATCATACTGAAAAAATAAAGTTTTACTATTTGGTTGAAACGTCCATTTTAAAATGTGTGTGAGTAAATTATCTGATGAAAATTCCATGTTTCAAAACTGTCCAAAGTAAATCAAATCAATTTTTACATATCAATATTGGTTGTTGCCTGTCAGAAGGTGTACGCAAGTCCAACTGTTTACAAGAATAAATGACAAATAACAGCGGGTTATATAAGTGGTATGAACGGTCTTATCTTATGCAATGTACACATACCCGGTAATGTTACATTCTTCCCCACTGGTAATGTCATATTCTTCCCTACTGGTAATGTCAAATTCTTCCCCACTGGTAATGTCACATTCTTCCCTACTGGTAGTGTCAAATTCGTCCCCACTGGTAATGTTACATTCTTCCCCACTGGTAATGTCACATTCTTCCCTACTGGTAATGTCACATTCTTCCCCACTGGTAATGTCACATCCTTCCCCGCTGGTAATGTCATATTTTCCCTTGTAAGAGCGTCACCCTACACCCGACTTTTAACATCACATATCATTTAGTGTCTTGTCTCTTTACACATCATGTCGGCATCCCAGTGTATATCTGAGTTTCCTCCCGTGTAATATAGCTTTCTGGCACACACATAGCTCTTTGTATCCCAACATATACAATCCTATGGTTTTCTTTTTGTTCCTTGGACAATACAGGTTTACGCCACATACAATCTCCCATCAATTTTTCCCTCACGCGCAAGTTTTTGAAGACTTTAACAGTCCGTCAAATAACAATGCACTACTCAGAGACGATCACAACTGGCTGTGAAACGTAAACAGAGTTATTTCCCTTTTTATTTATTTACCATTAATTTTTTTCTTAACAACAACGAACAAAATTTGAAGACTTCACATTAAACTTTATAATCCAAACGTGAAACATGGATTTTCGGCTTGTATGATACATCCCCTACTGAAACACTGTACCGGTAAATCACTAATTATTCTTAAACGTGGTTCTGTTGATGTAAGGTAGTATTAGTGTAGATATTGCTGAAAAGGTTATGAGCAAAACAAACCTGAAATTAAGGAATAATTAATGGGAGTTGATCTTGTCTATCTTAGAACAGTTTGTCATAAAAACGCCTTACTTTGGATATGTAATTTAATTTGACAGTTATCTGATTACTAAAACATGAGTTATAGTAAGTTTTTCAATATATATCTAACAACATTCAGTATGAGATTTAATTTCATGTCAATGAGATAATGAGTATAGTGTTTGATAAGGTTTTTTTCTGAAAAAAAAAGAAAGTCTTATTAATGTCCGTTTATATGACGCAGTGACCCAGACAACTTACCTCAAATAAATTTGGGACACCGTTTGCGGGAAGAGTTGTTCCAACTACATACATAGTGGCGGAGAACTTGGCAGGGCCGCAGCATTTTGCCGTCAAAGCGGCAGGCACAAACAGAATGGCGAGAAGGTACAACATTATCTATGTGGTCTCTGTTCCTACAATGGCGCGTGGACTGGAGATACGAGGGTTAAATATAAGTAGACCTTCATTCTGTATTCATAGTCCTATTTCAACAGTCATCAGATACACACATGTGCAATTCCCATCAACAAGAAGTTCAACGTAGGTGTCAAAATGGTATATTTCGAAATTCAAAACAGTGACAATCATTTCACAACTTATTGTTTCAAAGTCATTAAATCTTTAGATGAACTTAGTAGAAAAGAAAAAAAAGTATGGTATGTTAGTTTGAATCATGAGAACACGATTCATTAGACCTTTTTATGAAGAGTTCTAATTCAGGTTTCTGTTTTATCAGTCGTGATAGATTGCGCCCCGTCCATTTGTATATCATTATGCAGTATAATTTATAATAATTTCGGTAATTGACAGCTTGTTTACGAAATATGTCCGTATCTTGTGTAAAATTGTTTTGTTTGATTTTATTCTGATGAACGTCCTAATAACATATAAAGTCATATAAGTACGGATTATGGATATTAATGAGTGGAGTGTGTAAGTGTTTAAGTGCTTGTGTACTTTGCAGGCTGCAATATGTTCGTGTTAGCATTCTCCATATCCGGGGTGAGAAACGGATAACGTGTGTACACGATATATCCGTACCTCGGCATGAAACAGGTATATTTATACAAAATATATCGGTACCTCGGGTAAGAAACGGATGGTATGTTTAAGAAATGCATTCGTACAACGGGTAAGAAACAGTAGTATAATTACAAGTACAAAATGTATCGCGACTTTCGATAGAACACAGATAAAATGTTTACAAATTTCATCCGTACTTCAAAAAAAAAAAAAAAAAAATACATTGGTACCTTAGGTAAGAAATGGATGATTATGGTATATATACCATCAATGACCTGATTAAAAATTCTGATCATTTGACATTTTTCTCCTTTGATGAGTTTCTTCATAAATTTTTAATCAATGCCAACTATTTACAGTATTATGGCTTGATTACAGCCGTCACGTGTTTCTTGAGAAAACATGACTTCCATCCATTAGGACTATTTCAGCCTTTTATACCACTTCTATGGGAAACTTTTTATAAAAGTCAAAAAGGTGCCAAAGACTTCTACAATGCTATTATTAAACCAGCTCCAACCTTTTTATGTACACTATGTAATATGGAAAGAGAAACTATTGTTCACTGTCTATGGGAGTGTATAGAGGTACAGAATCTATTGGAGAGATTTGAATCTCTTCTTGATATTCTTCTGATTCCTTTTTGGATAAACAAAGAAACATATTTATTTGGAATAATCCATCCTAATGCTAACATTGTAGATAACGAAATTTAATTCTCATTAAACACTATGTTTATATGTCAAGATGTCTACAAAAATCTCTTAATTTAAATGCTCTTATAAATAAGATTAAGGATCATTTCCATGTTCGAAAGTACAACATTTCCAGCAAAAACACTATTATGGAAACAAATTTTGAGAATAATTGGAAAAAATGGATGCCCATTTTCGAACTATAGTATGTATGCTAACAAGTCTGTTCCCAATGGCCATGACCTTGACATTACCAAACTGACTTTAAATCAATTGAAAATTAGTGCTATTTTTATTTAATAATGATTATAACCCTCCCAATTCTCTCTCTTTCCCTCTCTCGCTCTCTCTCTCTCTTACTCCTCTCTCCCTTTCTCTTTTTTTGTTTAGGATGTATAAATATTTTTTATATATATATATATAAATGTATTCATGAGTGAGTATGTGTGTGTGAGAAAATATCTTTGAAAAGTGTAAGTGATATGATATTGTATGTGTGTGTGTGTGAGAATTTTGTTAAGTACATCTAAGTTTGCTATATGAGTGTAAGTGGGTGTGAATGTTGATGAATGAGTTTGTGTGCAGTAAGTAGTAGATGCATGTGCATGATGATAAAGATGATGGTGATGATGATGATGCTGCATGTATATATGTAAGACATATTCAAGTAAGAGCACACAAATGTGAGAGTGTGGGTGTATGTTTTTGTGTGGTTTCTCTTGTATATTTTGTATTGTGTAATATGTAAAAACTTATCAAAAATAAAAGAATTACAAAAAAAAAAAAAAAAAAAAAAAAAATGGATGATAAATTTACATGATATATTCGTACCTTTGTTGAATTGCGTCCCTTTTAGAGTACAATTTCAATTTGTGTGAGAAGCATCTCCATTACTTAAACATGAAGAATACCTGTTTCGTACTCTCTTGATCTATCTTAAAACTATTTCTCTGTCTTTGTGCTCAATTAATGTTATATATAGAATGATCTCCCTTGTGTAGTAAACCCTAATCTGTGTAAAGATACTCTCCCCAGCCAAAATGATCTAGTTCAAGATTTTCTCTCTTCACTATACACAGTATTAATTTTGGTAAGAACATTTGATTTAACGTATCGGTTATTACAAGAGAACACACTGAGGAACACATGTAGAAGGAACACGTCACAAGTAGTTAAAAACGCTACTGATATTGTGTGAAGAATTTTATCACGTGATATGTCATCAAGGTTTTAAAGTACAAAGTTCATCATTGTTGTTCCTCCACAATTGTCTGTGCTTGTAAAATGAGTCACTACGATTAAACTTTTGACACAAACCTACCTTATCGATGTGAACTTGACACACGCCTACTGACGTGTGTTTCATTTAAAGACACGGATACTGAAGAACACGGTCCTACTTTCAGGTTAAACGGACACTTTTCCACAATGCTAGTGTTACTTTTGCTGTGTTGCATTCCTTTAGCCCTAGCTGAACCTATAACGGCAGGATGCTGCTTCCCCAGACAGTGGACAGCGGTAGTAATGGAGAACGGAGGGATAAAACTGCCAACTGGTGGTCAAGAAATTGACGTAAGTTAACCGACTCAAATTTAATTCCTTTTATCTTTTTATTTAAAATTTTAAAGCATTTGTGATAATACAAAGACAAAGCTAAAAACAGATCAATTATGAAGGAAGATGAAGCGATGTGTATGAAGTTATCCGTTATTGGAATTGTAGGTTATCTCGTTATCAGGACTAAACACTATATACGGAACTTTCAATTTCAACTTTGTATTTAATACAGATAATGCATTTTTATCGCAAAAACCGAAATAAACGGTGGTATTAAGGTTGACTTCTTTCATTGTAATAAAAAAACACATTCCGAGGTCAGTAATCTCTCGAACTTAGTCAACAACCATCCATGCATGTTTGTAGGGATATCTCAAAGATTTAGATGTTGTTTTTAATCATTACAAATACTTAATTTTTCTTTTAATTCATACTACACCAAAGTCATTTAATCCCCAAGAGTAAGCGACAAGACGCCAACATCCCATAGACAACACCTGTTTCTTTATATGGACCCGGGGTTTATGATTTATTAGTAGAAGCTGTTCAGACTTTAGGAATGACCATATTATAATATGTAGAGATTTTACCCTAGTTTTAGAACCATCTTTACACAATGATGATAAATATGTCAATAATACTACAGCAAAGTATTGGAAATCAAGACAAAAGCCTTATTGTTAGGGAACATCATCAAGATACTAGATATCTGGCAGTAAATCCTGTAAAACAAGCACGATTGGACTTTTTTTTTCTAATTTCAGAATCTCTATTATCTGATGTAAACTAGTCCAGAATCGAATTTAGTTACAGATCTGACCATTCTATTCCAACCATATCTTTGAATCTGAATGAATCTTAAAAAGACATGGTCTTTGGAAATTTAACAATTTTTTACTATTTTAATCTTAATACCTGGATATTGTTAAATCATGAAAATTGAGAACATACAGCTGCAATTTTCTTTACCTGTATATAATTTTGACTCTGCTAAAAGTGTTCCAGACAGTGACATAATTTTTTATGAACTATCAGTTATTGAGAACATACAGCTGCAATTTTCTTTACCTGTATATAATTTTGACTCTGCTAAAAGTGTTCCAGACAGTGACATCATTTTTTATGAACTATCGCTTATTCTTGGAAATATTATTAATGGAAATAAAGGGTAGGTATATATATTATCCATCTTTCAGGGAGAAAACCCGAGGTAATTTACGACAACATAATCCATAGAGTTATAAGAGGCAGAAACAACTCCAGACCAGGGGCAACTGGGGGGGGGGTTAAGAAAAATTTGGAGTCCATTCTTTTGAAAAACAACAGGTATTTTGATTAGATCTAGGGCACAATGGACTGAGGAAAGGGAAAACATACTTCGTATATTCTGAATCTAGAAAACAGAAACCTAACGTCTAAAGTTATACCTAACACTCTTTAAGAAAATAGAGATGATATAACTAAGCAAGAGGGTGTTTTCACTGAAGTAAGATGATTCTATGACAACTTATAAATTCAGGGAAGTTGATAATGTTGATCTAGAAGTACATCTAAATATCTACAATGTCCCAAAGTTAAGTAATATTGAATATGAGAGCTTAGAGGGTAGGATAGCATTTGAAGAAACAGGAAAAACACTTAAAGGTATGAAAAAAATGAAAGCCCGAAATTCAATGGTTTTACATTTGAATTTTCAAAGTTTTTGGAAATTCTTGGAAATTTTGTTGCACGCTTTTTAAATCAAGTTTTTTTCACTGGGTCAGTGTTCAATATATTCAAAGACATCGTATAATTGTTTGTATACCTTAGAGAGATAAGCCACGCCATTTCCTGTAAACTGAAGGCCAATCATACAATTAAATATCATGTAATTGGGGTAATAGCATATAGAGTTAAAACAGTTTTAGGTAATGTTATTAATGAATATCAAACAGGTGTCTTATCTCTTAGGTGTATTGGTGAAAACACACGCACAGGGTATGGTGTAATGCAATGTGTTGAAGAACAAAATATCCCAGGCCTGCTGATGTTAAAAAGAATTTGAAAAGGCGTTGGACTCGGTTTCATAGAGTTTCACAGATAAAAGTTTAGAAGATTTTAACTTTGGTGAGGATGTAT